GTAAATGTGCAGTCATATTCGTTGTGTTCCCACTAGTGCTGTCAGCGTTAATCTCGTTGAAATGACGTTAACGCCACAACACGGCAAATCTCCGTTAACAAGCTACCCCTGCTTGGGGCTAGACGGCTAACACATTAACGAGCTAACTGTGATATTTTATATATTATATATATATGTGTATGTGTGTGTATATATGTGTTCTAAAAGATGTATAAAGACTTTGAAAGTTGGGAAAGGATTCACATCCCATCTATAGATTTACTCCATGGGTTTTTTTTCACTGTTACGGTATGTCTTATAGACCACACATGATCATTGTCATGATTTCAATCATAAAAATCTTTAATTATTCTTGCTTGTTTATGATACAAAAATGTTAAATAGGTAATAAACTATTTAATGAATGTTCCAGTTACTTTTTGTCTTATTTTTTTCAATTTTAATTACAGTAACAAAAGCTTTAGTTTTTTTTAAGCCTGTTTTAAACTCTGTGTGGGTTTTTTTTTTCTTCTTGTGTGTGTGTGTGTGTGTGTTTTCCAGTTCACAGCGGTGTGGTGAACAGTTTGTCTTTCCACCCAGCTGGTAATTTCCTAATCACTGCATCCAGCGATTCCACAATGAAAGTCCTGGATCTCGTAGAGGGCAAGCTGCTGTATACACTGCACGGTCACCAGGTAGACACGCATACATGTGACACATAAATATTGTTTAGATGTCCGGCAGGCTTAGCTGTTCTGTTTACCCTCTCATTATCACGACAGGTTACTTCTGTTGTTTGCTTTGGTTTTCCACATGTGTTGAGAGTTTGGTGCGAACATTTATGTGTGAGAGTGTTTGACATCTCTTTTGTGTAGGTCTGTGAGTGTGTGTGAGTACGTTGCCGTTTTTTGTATATGGGGTATTTTAGTAGTTGCCTGGTGAACGGGCAGCCCACTCATCGTGACTCATCCCAGGGTTGCTGGAAGGAAACGCTACTGTGTTTCTGCCTCCGTTCTTCTGGATCTAGTTCTCCTTTTCTTCTCTTCCTTCTCTGATTTTGTCCCGTTGTTCCTCTCAGACCTCGGTACAACTTTTTCTTTGCCATGTTTTCGTCACATTTTTTCCCCCTTTGTCTCACATCTGATTTACTCACATTTGGGTTGGCAGGGCCACCTGGCCGGACGGCTCACTGAATGTATCAGTTTGTTTAAACAGCCGATGGACCGGGTTGCTGGCTAGTTGTGGAAATCGGCAGCTTGCCAGTACCACATGTGGTCCATCTGTTTATCTATGTCTCTGCTATGTCTCCTCTGCTGTCTTCTCTGTTTCATCTGTGTTTCTTTCCAGGCACTTGCCAAGACTCTCCTTTCTGTCATGAATAAATAACTTTCATTTTCTCTCTTTACGCCTCCAAATTTGTCATCTCTTATATTGTGTCTCAGTTTGTGTTGTTGTTCTTTTTGGCTCCGCGGTGACACCACCAATCTGTTGGTGCTAGGAGACTAAGAGTGCTAATTGTCTCTCCAATCGCATAGCTGGAGATGGGAGAGACCCCCATCTGTTCAGTGTGGGCGTAAAGGTTTGTGCTGTGTATTTGTGTAGGCCTGTGTGCATTTACCATACGTGAAAACAAGTGTTTTGGTGCTGTAGCTGACGAATGTGTTGTTTACCCAGCCTCGGGAGGACATTACCTGATTGGTTTGAATTGTGTTAATTTAGGTTAATTTGTCTCTCTGCTTCACTCGCTGACAACTTACTTTCACAACATGTTCTAAAACTTCTCACAAAGTAATTCTTTAACTAAGTGCTTGAGATAATTTTGGTTTTTAAAGACATCATGAACAAGATGAATCGCTTGTCATCCTTAATGGCATAATCTCTTTGAAACGGAGTACACTGTGGGACTTCATGTTGTGTGAGAAGTGCATTCAGAAAATAAAATAACTCAGCTGCATGACAGTGCATTCAAACCTTTTATAGTTTTTGAACAGCTGTTTAACACTCTTAGACACAAAGGTTCCGCCGATTGGCACCCAAACTGACTTGATAACGAAGAAACAAACCAGTTTATTAAAAGTGCCAACTATAATCAACACAAGTGAGTCTGCTGCTTTAGTCATAGCAAAAATCCTGCATTTGTTTAGAGTTGTGTTTTTCGGTTATCCATATTCAATTCAGTCCAGTTGCAGTTACATAACCTGAAAAAAAAAAAAAAAGTCACCTCAACACACTTTATATTGTAAGGTAAGGACTGTACAATAATACAGTGAAACGAGACGAGTGAGACGATCCCCTGTGAGCAAGTACTTGGTGACAGTGGGACGGAAAAACTCCCTTTTAACAGGAAAAAAAACTCTGGCAGTACCAGGCTCAGGGAGGAGCAGCTATTTGCTATGACCAGTTGGGGGTGAGAGGAGGGAAACGGGAAAAATATATACATACTCTGTGGAAGAGAGCCAGTAAATCTAGAATGGTGCATAAACAAGTCAAAAGAAAGTCAAAAGAAGTGAGTGAAGCAAAAAGAGATCCATTGCAGTGTAGCTAAGGGAGGATTCAGGATTACCTGATTAGCACTAACTATATTCTTTGTCAAAAAGGGAAGTTTTCATCTAAAAGTAGAAAGACTATCTGTCTCCAGAATCTGCTGCCCATTCGACTTTTAAATACCCAGGGAAGCACAAGTTAGCCTGCACTCTGAGAGCAAAGTGCTTTGATGGTGTGATGTGGTACTATGTGGTTTATAAGAGAAGATGAAACCAGGTTATTGTAGACCTTGTATGTCAGAATGATTTTAAATGAAAGCCAATGCAGCGAAGCCAATGCAGGAGAAATCTGGTCTCTCTTTCTAGTCCCTGTTGCTGACATATTTTGGAGGGAGTTTTTGGGGCAGCCTGATAATAATGAATTACAATAGTCCAGCCTGGTAGTAATAAATGCATGAAGTAGGTACAGCAGTTATAGGAAGGTTTAGAGAACAAACATGTCTTTTTCCCCAAATATTAGGAGGTAATCTGTATTTCTGTTGCAAGCTGACATTCAAACGCGCATCTTCATGTTTGTATGTTACTGTTACTAATGGTAGATCAGTTAAGACAGTTCATTTGAAATAATTAATAATGATTTCTTGAGATACGTCATTTCAGTAATGGCAATTAGATTTTGATGAAATAACAGAAACTAGGACAGGACCCCCACCTCGAGTCTAGACGCTGGTGGTGATGGAGATGGAGCCTTGTTGAAGCTCTTTAAGTGACCGGAGTGATGTGGATATGGGTAGGAGGCTGGTTGCATGAATGGGAGTCTGAAAGACAGAATGACAGAAGAACACTGAGATTTAAAGAACATAGAAGGAACAAAAGCTCATTGGCTCAGAGAAGGCGGGCAGGAAAGTGGTTGGACAAATGCAAATTCAGCGGTTATTGCAGGATCATTAGGAAGGCAGAATTCTTTTATAGATGTTTTCTGAATACATTCTGTCAGTATGTAATGTGTATCAAAATGATTAACTTTTGGATATGGAACTGCACAAAATGCATATTTTCATGCCAAAAGACCACATATTTGATACACTTCTCAGGTTTGTTTCCCATTTGTGAATTTGAAATGTAAACATTAATTATGGTTGTTACAGTGCACAGCTTTGTGCTCTTTGTGGTTTTTCAGTTAAATTTATACAAAGAATGTCTTGTACACATATTACAAGACTGCATAATTAAGAGGGTCTAAGAAACAGTTTTTTATGCTGATTTACAGAACTTTACACAAGCCTAAAGTTCTTTATGACTGTGCTTAAAGGGGACGATTTAGAGGGGAAAAATAGCTTACAAAATAAAAGCAGTAGCAGTATGTTATCGTTCGTGTTAGTCATGCATTTATAAAGGGCACCATATGGGTCTTGTCTGGTTTGTGCTATCCGTGTTCATTTATCGGTACATAAAATGTACAAGTTAGGTTCATTGCTCTGTCAGGCTGTGTTTGTGAGTGCGTGTGTGCGTGTGTGCATGTGTGCGTGCATGTGTCTGGCCATGGCAAGTGCCAGCCTGGCAGCAGGCATTAGTCAGAGCACAGACAGAACATGCTGTCTGTCAGGCCGTCGCGTTGCTATAGTGACACTGTCTGCTTCTCTCAGGTGCTTCTGGGAAACCATTCCTCACCCAAACCAGCCTGTCTGGGTGCCAGCCACAGGACACAGCTCCTTTTTTCTTCTCAGCAGACTCCCTGTCCGTTTCTTTTCCAGCACTTGTTTGTTCTTTGCTTCATCCCCTCTTTGAACGCATTCACGGGGCTCAGGCTGAGATCGTTGACCCCATTCTGCATTGTGAGGTGGGAAAAAAAAAGAATAAACTAAGAGGAACATGATTTCTGAATTTTATTTCCAGCTACATGCACACACACAAAGGATGCCAAAGTCCTGACATCCTTCAGGTGATCCTTTTTGGCTCTGACCATGCGTGACCTCACTCCACCTGAGTTTCTGCTTTTTGTTATTGATTGCTCTGCTGCAGCCCCACACACCCACATCCTCCTCCAAACACACACACACACACACACACACACACACACACACA